CTTGTCCTGTGATTACCCTTCTGTGTATTTAGTCTTCCCCTGTGTTTCATGTCGGTCCATTGTTTTCCCTCCATGTTATTCCACGGTCCATGTTCCTTGTGCTGCTCGTTTGTTTTGGGATTTTTTGGATACTGCCTTTTTGACACAGCTTTTATTATTTAATAAAGCTCGCTTTTTGTTAAAATCTGCATTTGAGTCCTACCTGCTTCACCCCCTCGTAACAGAATGGACCGACCAAATTTGGACTCAGCAGATTTTAATGTTTTGGCCTCACAGGCGGAATGTCTTGGGTACTCTCTGGAGTACATTTTTTACACCTGGAAGAAGGCCTCATCTAGACGGGGTAAAGAGGCTGCTCTGAAGGAGGCACGCCGGGAGGTGCTCGCAAGCCCTGGCTCAGGAGCTTGTTGCCTGAGTGGCTACAAACTTTTTCAAGTAGCCCTGAAGACTTGTCACATGCTTCTAACCCTTTCCTGGGATCCGACTACTGTCCTGTTGGAGGTCCACGGAGTCTCCAAAAAGCCTCTAGGAGACGCAGGGCAAGGATTCCAGCCCATGCTCCAACAGCCATGATCCCGGCTTCAGTTCCAGTTTCCACAGCCCTGGATCCATGCACCAGTACCGGTCCGCAGAGCTATGATTCCTTGCTCGATTACCTGGCCCACACAGCCATGGTCCAGGCCTCTGTTCCGGTTCCAGTGGCTCCAGCTCCAGCCTCAGACCTTTTTTCAGGAACCCGTCTGGCGTTTGGAGGTCCACGGAGCTTCCAAAAGGTCTCTGGAAGATGGAAGGCCAGGATTCCAGCCCGTACTCCAGCGGGTTCGGCCCCAGTTCTGGCCCCAGCGGCCATGGTTCCGGCCCTGGTTCCGGGTCCAGCAGCCATGGTTCCGGCTTCAGTACCGGCCCCAGCAGCCATGGTTCCGGCTTCAGTACCGGCCCCAGCAGCCATGGTCCCGGCTTCAGTACCGGCCCCAGTAGCCATGGTCCCGACTCCAGTTTCGGCTCCAGGACTGGATTACCGTCCGACACCAGCTCCCCGAGTCCTTTCGGCGTACCGGCCGACTCCAGCACCTCGTCTCCTGTTGGCTCACCGGCCAACGCTAGCTCCCCGTGTCCTGTCGGCGTACCGACCGTCTCAAGTCCCCTCTCAAACCCTCTCTCGAGTCCCCTCTCAAGTTCCCTCTCAAGTCCCCTCACAAGTTCCCTCTCAAGCCCTCTCTCAAGTCCCCTCTCAAGTCCCCTCTCAAGTTCCTACCCGAGTCCCCTCTCAAGTCTCCTCTCGAGTTCCTTCTCAGGTCCCCTCTCGAGTCTCTTCTGGAGTCCCCTCTCAAGTCCCCTCTCGAGTCTCTTCTCAAGTCCCCTCTCGAGTCTCCTCTCGAGTTCCCTCTCGAGTCTCTTCTCGAGTTCCCTCTCAAGTTCCCTCTCAAGTCTCCTCTCGAGTCCCCTCTCAAGTCTCCTCTCGAGTCCCCTCTCAAGTCTCCTCTCGAGTTCTTTCTCAAGTTCCCTCTCGAGTTCCCTCTCAAGCCCTCTCTCGAGTCTCCTCTCGAGTTCCCTCTCGAGTCCCCTCTCCAGTTCTCTCTCAAGTCCCCTCTCGAGTTACCTCTCAAGTCACCTCTCGAGTTCCCTATCGAGTCCTCTCTCAAGTCCCCTCTCGAGATCTCTCTCAAGTTTCCTCTCAAGTCCCTCTCAAGCCCTCTCTCGAGTCCCCACTCAAGTGCCGTTGGAGGTTCCGCTGGGGGTCCTGCCATCTCCATGTCCTGTCCCGTTGGGGGCCCTGCCGACTACTCTTCTGCCGGGGGTCCTGCCAACCCTGTGTCCTGTGTCATTGGAGGTCCCGCCGACTACTCTTCTGCCGGGGGTCCTGCCAACCCTGTGTCCTGTGCCGTTGGAGGTCCCGCCGACTACTCTCCTGCCGGGGGTCCTGCCAACCCTGTGTCCTGTGCCGTTGGAGGTCCCGCCGACTACTCTCCTGCCGGGGGTCCTGCCAACCCTATGTCCTGTCCCGTTGGGGGTTCCGCCGACTATTCTTCTGCCGGGGGGTCCTGCCAACCCTATGTCCTGTCCCGTCGGGGGTCCCGCCGACTACTCTCCTGCCGGGGGTCCTGCCAACCCTATGTCCTGTGCCGTTGGAGGTCCCGCCGACTACTCTCCTGCCGGGGGTCCTGCCAATCCTATGTCCTGTTCCTCTGGGGGTCCCGCCGACAACTCCTCTGCCGGGGGGTCCTGCCAACCCATTGTCCTGTTCCGTTGGAGGCCCCGCCATCACCTGTCTCGCCGGGGGTCCTGCCAACTCCTGGTCCTCTTCCGTGGGGGATCCTGCCGAGGCCTGTCCCACTGGCTCCGGTTCCTGTTCGGCCGACACCGGGTTCTGCCTGGCCTCCGGAGCTGTCTGGTCTTCGCCTGAGAGCCGCGGTCTTCGCCCTCGAGCCCAGCCCCCTGAGTGCCGTAGTCTTCGCCCTCGGGCCCGGCCCCCTGACCCTTCCTGCCGCTGCCTTCACCCTCATGCTCGGCCCCCTGAGTTCGCCCGCTGTGGCCTTCGCCCCTCCGTGGTCTCTGCCTTGCCCCCGGGCCGTCCGCCCGAGTTCCCCACCTTGGACTCTGCCTTGCCCCCGGGCCTTCCGCCCGAGACCCCCTCCTTGGTCTCTGCCTTGCCCCCGGGCCGTCCGCCCGAGAACCGTCCTCCAGACCCCCTCCACCCACCCTGCTGGACTTTGTTTTTTGGGACGTCTGGGATCCGTCCCTTGAGGGGGGGGTTCTGTCACACTCCTAGGTTTATGTCACAGTTTTAATGTTGTCTGTCTGGTTATGGGTTTTGTAAGTCTGTTCATTCGGTGTTTTGTCTTCCTCCTTGTGTTTTGTCTGGTCCTCCTCCCTGTCGTTAGTTTCCCTGGTGTGTCTGATTGTCTCATTGTGTTCACCTGTTGCCCTTGTGTTTCTCCCTCCCCTGCCCAGCTGTGTCTTGTCCTGTGATTACCCTTCTGTGTATTTAGTCTTCCCCTGTGTTCCATGTCGGTCCATTGTTTTCCCTCCATGTTATTCCACGGTCCATGTTCCTTGTGCTGCTCGTTTGTTTTTGGATTTTTTGGATACTGCCTTTTTGACACAGCTTTTATTATTTAATAAAGCTCGCTTTTTGTTAAAATCTGCATTTGAGTCCTACCTGCTTCACCCCCTTGTAACATCCACAGTCATCTTTACAGATCCAACTTTCAGCTTCTGTCTCACCTCATTAAAATGTGCCAGGGCGAAAGTTCACAGTAACATTCTCCTTGAGTAGATCCAGCTACCGGGTCACAAAGCCATAATGTGGTTATCATAGGGTACAGTCCCTGCAGTAAACTGAACTCATAGATAACTCAATTTGGCAACAAATCAACCTCAGGATGTGAAGAGAACAAAACGGGTGTTGCACAAATAATTGTAAAGATTGTATAAACTTTATAGGTACTTTGGATGCACACAGAGCCTGCAGTACGTGACAGAATGATGAACACGGTTTTATTGTGAAACCGTGGACAGCAAGAACTGCTGTTTCAAATTTTGGTGCAAAGAAAATGTGTTATTTGTATGTAAACAGCACAGCTTGAATCAGCTCATACGTTTGTTTTTTTAAAGATTTTATTTTGGCAGCAGCTTGTCAGGGCAGCTGATGTTAGGTGCTGAAAGCTGTGAGGGTAAAATATCTTCATCCTGACACGTGACTTGTCAACTCCATGTCACTCTTGCTTTGTCACGTTGTGTCTTGTGAGTGTTGCAGCAGCATGACCAGACTACTCAAATAGCTAGTGAGAGTTTTCAATGTCAAATCCACTGCCTTAAAATAAGGTAAGGCAAGTTTATAGCACCTTTCAACACAAGGCACATTAAGAGCATTACAATATAGTTCAGCAGAAACATTCTATAAAATGGCCTTTAAAAACTTTCATTAAAAAACAAAGACAATCAAATAAACATAAAACAAGCCAACATATGAGAATTATTAAGATCATTTAGAAATGATTTGATTCATGCGGCTTGCCATTCTTGGACCCTATCTGTAGCTGTAATACTTTGTAGTAATAACAATTGGAGCAGTCTTTTGCTCTTCAACTTGTGTTTAAAATGCATTTCTACCTTAATTTATTTTGTAGGTTTAAGAACAATAAATATATTGCTGTCTTCATTCCTTGCAGATCATTTCTAAAGTGTAATGTTTTCTCTCAGCCATGTGCTGTTGGCCCTGAGTATGAACACGGAGGAACATTCAGAGCAATTACAGATTTTTATGATTAGAAAGCTTTTCTGTTTTTGACCAGATGTCTGCAGAAATCTTTTTTTATTGTAATCATGTGTCCTCATATCCTGCAGTTTCCATTTGGCATTACATTTTTTTACATTACATTGCATTTAGCAATTGCATTTGGCAGATGCTTCATAGATAACAGTAAGAGGCAGAACCAGTTAGAGCTGAGTATGATAACATTATCTAATCAAACTAAATAAAAGTCAGCTGTCCAATGTCCGACATCTGTTATTTTTCTTTTAACCGTGACTCATACAACATAATTTAATATGAAGCCCCTACTAATATAACACCCAGAAACCAGAAAATCAGCAGTACCTCACTTTACTTGACTTATTTTGCCTTATTTTAACCAGGATAAAAGCAATTGTATTTGTATTACAACATATCAATAAGGCTATTAGTTTAATCCGCTAACTGACCTCATATTCTGTATAGGAGAACTTTTAAAGGTCAGACAAGGTAAACAGGCTCCTTGTGCTGTTCCTCTCAGGGTAGAGTCAGTGACTCACTGTGTTGGCCTGAATCACTTATTTCCTTTTCCCCATCAGTGGAAAAGCACCACACAGAAAAGCAGAGGAGGGTCCGCTGGCTGTAAAAGACCTCTCTATGCGGACTCTGGCCTGCAGCCAGGCAGCAGACACGTGTCAGGCCAGGTAAACCAGGGAGGCGTTTCATAAACTCTACACTGAACTTCAAACACTCGCGAGTTGTTAGACTCCTGAATTAGATGTTGTAGAAGTTGTAAATCACTAAATATACAGCCTCGTTTGAGGTTTGTGCGAGGACTTTAAGCTGAGTCTTGGAGATTTAAGCTGGACTTTGACTCAAGATTCATCATATAAAGTAGAGGAGAGGGGAAAGTGGGTTATTTTACCTAAGAGGGAGAGGAAGAGAGAACGACGACATGGCCATGTGGAGGACAGCGACAGCTCTTCTGCTAATTCTACAAACTGGTAAGAAATGATTTGTTTCTGTGAGAGGTTGACAAAGGTATTCAACAGCACTGATTGGGTTGCCCTAGAGGTGGAGATACAAATATAACTAAACAGAATTTTTCCATATAATAGTATTTTTGTTTTAATGAAAGATTATCAAGATTATCATCTATATTACATGTTAAACATATTTTCCAGTTGACCTCAACTTATTGTTGATGTACATGGCCATAAGGTGACAAAAAGTGTATAATTTGGATAATTTCAGAGGTCTGAAGAAAAAATACATTCCAGTATTTGAAATGAATAGAAACATTCGAAAAAAAAACATTTTAAACATATTTATTTTGTATTCCTCCAATTTGTATTGTAACCGTTTTAAATCAAGTACATTGAAAACGGTAGAATATTTTCACAGCAGTAGGATAGTTCTAGAGATGACAGGATGTTTTCATGACTCATTTAGTGGGAAAGTTTAATGATGTATGTGTTTCTCTCTCAGTGTTTGGCCAGAGCAGCATTAGATGGTGCACCATCTCAGATGCAGAGCAAAGAAAATGTTCGGCCATGTCGGAGGCCTTCGCCAAAGCCTCGATCCGTCCATCCCTGAGATGTGTCAACGGAGTGACCATTGAGGGCTGCGTTCAGAAACTACAGGTCAGAATAGGGCTAGAGGAATTTAAGCAATTTTGAAAAATGGTAGTTGTTCCTTAATAGGCAAATCATAAAATAATTTGCAGTGTAATATACCTTATTATTTAGTAATCTATGAATCTGTATCAGTCAGGACACCAGAAGACTTGTTAAAAGATTATTAAATATTTTGAGTGGTAGAACACACTATCAGGCATAAGATAACAAGGCTGGAACTACTTTTACAGTTGCAATCAACTTTTTTATAGCTGATATCAGGCAGCACACTGGGTCCTTTAGGGCAACCACAGACTTGAAGATTTCTGATCTGCCAACAGTAACCTAGTAACCAGAAACTGAGCAAAACACGAACCTTAATGTTTGAATAATGCTTTGTCCTATGTAGGCTAGGCTATATGGAAATACATGATATGCTGAAAATGCTTTTTAGCATTCTTATTGTAAACAAATCCAGTGTCTCTGTTCCAAAACATTTAGATGTTTTAAACCATACCATAAATAGTTATTGTTTCTTTGTACAATGTTCTACAAGTGTAGCTGTCCCTGTCAATCTATAATATTGGGGCTCTTAAGTACATAGGGGAAATGTCCTGATATTTATAACACTATTCATCTTTTTGCTTTCTCTGTTACTGTAGAAAAAAGAAGCAGATGCCGTGTCCATGTTCAGCCCTGACATCTACAAATTGGGGAAAACCAACTCCTTTAAGATTGCTGCTAGTGAATCAAAAATTGATGGTTAGAATGTTTATTTCATCTGAAAAGCAACTCAAACACAGTTAGATGGTTGAAGACAGAGATAACTATTCAGAGAGAAATACAAGTGTGAAACATGATTTCACACTTGTATTCACACAGGACCAAAGATAAATCTCTGGTCCTGTGTGATAAGCAACTTTAAAAACATGTTAGCCAATTCAGTATGTTGTTTTAGTATGTAATGTTAAAAAGAATAGTTTAGTATTTTGGGAAATATTCCTGTTTTTGTATTGCTTAAAGATGAGAAGATGAGCCACTTAGTGTGAAGTCGAGCATGGTGGCCATATAGCTTAGCGTGAAGACTGGAAACAACAGCTAGTAGCTCCGTCCAAATGGAAAATAATACACCTTTAAGAACTGCTAAAAATCACATAATAACACTGTATAATTTGTTTAACATGTACAACTAGAACTGTTGGTGTAATGAGAAGTTGTTGGACTATCTATTGAACAGAGCCAGGCTAGCTGTTCCCTGTTTCCAGTTGTTGAGCTAAGCTAAGCAACTAGCTGTAGATTTGTGTTTTCTATACAAACATAAAAGTGTCTTTATGAGTATTTATAGCAAGAAAGCAACACATTTATTATGGTTAACCTGTAGCAACTTAATGCAGGCTAAATTATCACACGTGTTACCTGATTATAACAACTACTCCTGTCTCTGGGATATTTTTTTTTTAAAACGAGTGATAGTCAGCACTGATCTCCTACATTATATCTCAAAGTAGAAATGTCATGTAATATATTGCTAGTACTCAGTTATTGTGAAGTGTGTTTTTATACCTGCTCTGTTGTTGCCTCAGGTACCGGTGCTAACTACTATGCAGTTGCTGTGGTGAAGAAAGCAAATTCTGGCATCAGCATAAACAACCTGGCAGGAAAAAGGAGCTGTCACACAGGGAAAGGCCGAACAGCCGGCTGGAATATGCCTTTAGGATACCTCATAGACCAGGGCTACATGTCTGTAGTGGGCTGCAACATCCCACAGGGTAGGAAATACACTTCACATAAATAATTGTGCATATGTGTACATACAGGAAGCTGGAGAGACTTTTGTGTGTTTGTGTCATCAGGTGTGGCACATTTCTTCAATGCCAGCTGTATCCCTGGAGCAAACCAGGAAGGTGATCCAGCCTCTCTGTGTCAGCTGTGCAAAGGAAATGGTGAAGGACTGAACAAATGTGACATGAGCGACAAAGAGTTATACTTCAGCTACGCGGGAGCCTTTAGGTAACACACAGAAGTTACTGTTCTGCAGAACTGGGTATTTACATATTTGTAAATTACTTCCAGGACCTATCTAGAGACATTCCATCTTTAATAACATTTTACAAACAGTAGCACATTGAACATATCGAAATATAAATAAAAAAACTATGTTTTCGATAAACAAAAAAATATATAGTTCTCATTCATAACACTCCGTTCGATGTCTCACTATGGGATGCGCCTCATCGCGGAGCAAACATAAGCATCAATCTCATTACGCCAATCCTGATTGGCTGGAGATCTTGACGTCAGGGAAATCACCCCCTATAAGTAGCTTGCGCCACAACGCATGCGCCATTCAAACACCTCTTCTCGCTTCAGAGCACATCTCTATGGTAGCCGGACAAGCTTCACGGTCCACAGACTGAACCCAAATATCCATTTCGGTCGACGGGCGCTTGCCGGCTACTCCTTCTGCTTCGCAGGAAGACGGTAATTACTAACGCTAGTTATTGTTGAAATCGACCTCGCCGCTCTCTTTCCCCGGAAAGTAAGCTAGGTCTGATTTTTTTCAAGCTAGCGTTAGCTTGCTCCCTCACTACCGACACCACGGTAGCGAGGAAGTCTTTTCTTTTCTCTTCCCCACGGAGGAGGAAAGGATTAAAAGGAGCATACTGCCACACCAGTCAGTATTCTCTGGGAATAAAAGACCCACACCGTCCTTTTCTCCGGATTAAGGACAGGGTGGTTACCTCTTTTTCTCCCAACCTACCTGTTGAGAGCGGGTCCTCTCCACGCCACGAGGCGAACAAGATGGACGCCCCTCTCCCTCACACCAGAGGAGTCAGGGACTCGGTGGCTCGACTCTGCGGCTGCGGGTTGAAGATCTCGGGCACAGACACACACCAGGTCTGCTCGTCCTGCCTCGGGCTGGAACACGCCCGAGGCGCTATCGACAACCCCGGCTCGTGCGGACATTGTGTCCGCTTCACCGTAAAGAGCCTCCGCCGACGGCTAGCACGCCAAGCTAGCCTGTCGGAGCAGGAACCCCCCATGTCCTCTGACCTGCCGGCCGGCAGTCAAGACGCGGGGGCATCTGCCACAGAGAGTGAACCCCTCTCCATGTCCGTCTGGGGCTCAGTATCTGCGATGGCCGCAGAACCGGATTCCCGCGCCCTGGCAGGCCGGGACCCGGTGGCGGCAAGACACGCGGGAACGGGACCCCACGCTTTACCGAGCTGGGGCTCCCAGTTAGACCTCACCATGGTCTCACCCGCGGAGGATGTCCTCGAGCTGGATTACGACGAGGACGAAGAGGACGCCTCGGTGTTCCTCCTGTCCGAGTCGGATGAACATGAAGAGGACATCTTCATGTCATCGGCTCAGGCTGCAAAGCCTGGAGCGAGGGCTGCTCTCCCAGACGATAGCATACCAGCTTCGCCCTGTCTGAGTATGGACCTGCAGGCCGTGTGCAAACGCGCTGCGGCCAGACTCGACATCCCGTGGCCTGAAATGGCCAAGGAGACCTCCAGGTCCCGCTACGAAGGGAAACATTTTCCCCAAGCAGCGCGGACAAAGAGACAACTCCTTCCGGTCTTCCCGGAGATGTTGGATGAGGTGTCAGTCTCGTGGAGAGACCGGCCCTTCAGCAACAAGGTCCCAATCCAGGGTGCCTCCTCCCTAGACTGTGACGGAATGGAGAAGCTCGGCCTGCTCCGCATACCGCCCATGGAACCGCTGGTAGCAGCCCACCTCCTACCGAGGATGGGCCCGTCACCGAGCAGGAACCCCACGCTGCCGGCAAAGTCGGACCGATTTCAGTCGACAATGACTGAACGGTCCTACAAAGCCGCAGCGTTGTCCGCCAGGGCCCTGAATGTGGCCTCGCTGCTAACCGCTTACCAAGCGGAGCTCTGCGAGGACCTGTCGGGTAACCCGGGTGCAGCCACTCTGGACGAGATGGCGGCGGTCACAGACATCTGTCTCCGTGTCCAACGCTGCGCCGTCCAGGCCACGGGTAAGGCAATGGGGATCATGGTGGTGCAGGAAAGAGCGAGATGGCTCAACCTCACCAACCTCCCAGACCGGGAAAAGGAGGATGTGCTGGATATGCCCATCGTTCCCGAGGGAATTTTCGGCTCCGCTCTTGCTTCCATGCAAAGGAGGTGTGAGTCGAAAAAGAGGGAGGACGAGGCACTCCACCTCTGCCTCCCTCGAAGGGTCCAGCCGCTGCCTTCGCAGCAGCAGTCCTTCGCCCAAGCTGCCTTGAACCCTGCTCGGTTTAAAACACCGAAAACGCAGAGGTCGCAGCCCGCCCCGAGTCCCCAGCCCAGGCTGGAGACGAGGGCGAGCTGGCCCAGAAAATCTCCGGTTCCGGCTGCAGCTCAGGCGCAGCCAACCCAGAATTTCGGCCAGCAGGCGAGGAAGAAGAAGCGAGCGGCGTGACAGCCCCTCCTTCTCCCCTCCGTGACAGAGCTGGAAGTCCACGGTTCCCCAGCTCTAAATGTGTTCCCGCCGCCTCGAGAGATGCCTCAACACCATCCTCAAGTCCGCAAAAACACATGTCACAAATCTGTTTGTTCCTCTGTCATTAAACATTTGCCGCTGACGCATCCAGGCTTCAGGCCGAGGGCGCAGCTCAAAAAAATGATAAGAAAAACAATAAAAACCAATAAACAGCCCGCCAACTGTTCCCCATCTGAGAGCAGCTTCGGCATCTCTCAAAAGGCGGATTACAGGCGGGTCTGTGAAGGCACCACCGTCACGCGCATGCGCAGTGCCGGCTGGGGTTTTAAAAGCACCACCGCCACGCGCATGCGCAGTGCCGGCTGGGGTTGTGAAGGGGGCACCACTGTGTTCAGACACTAGAGGTTCCCATAACACAACAAATAGAGACTCAGAGGGGAAGAGATGTGACATCTCCACTGGCTCTAAGGAGCATGCAGTGGAAGATGCTCACATCATCTGCTTGGGTTTTCAAGACAGTAACACGGGGCTACAGACTCCAATTCGCTGTCACCCCCCCTCGCTTCTCGGGCATTCTGCATTCGCAGGCCCGAGGAGAGTCAGCCCATATTCTGGAGAAAGAGATTCTCTCTCCTAGAAAAGAGGGCTATATCTATTGTACCCGCCGAGCAGAGTCAGGGCGGCTTCTATTCCAAGTACTTCCTCGTTCCCAAACGGGGAGGGAACGGAATTCGGCCAATACTTGATTTGAGGGCTCTGAACAAATATCTAAGAAGATATAAGTTCAGAATGCTCACTCACACATCTCTGCTGCGGCTCGTGCGACAAGACGACTGGTTCACATCAGTCGACCTGAAAGATGCGTATTTTCACATCCCAGTATATTACCCACACAGGAAATATCTGAGATTCGCATTTCAGGGGATCTGTTATGAATACAGAGTACTCCCCTTCGGTCTGTCTCTCAGTCCAAGGGTGTTTGTACGATGTACGGAAGCCGCGATAGCCCCGTTAAGACAACAGGGTATTCGCCTGGCGACCTACCTGGACGACTGGCTGCTTCTCGCACAGTCGGAGCAGGAGGCTGTTACGCAGACAAATGTCCTCGTAAAGCACCTGCTCAACCTGGGTTTCATAATAAACACAGAGAAGAGCATGTTGTGCCCCGCGCAGACTATACTCTTCCTGGGTTTACACCTGAACTCGGTGCCCTTTTCAGCTCGCTTTTCAGCGGAAAGAGTGAAAGCTTTCAGAGCTTGTCTCGCTCTTTTCCAGCTGCGCAAACATGTTCTCTTCAGATCATGCCTGCGATTGCTGGGGCTCTGTCCAGGATGTCTCCCATCAAAGACATTGGTGCAGCGGCGAGCTGGTCCTCGCCGCTCACTTTTGTCTGCCTCCTAACAGGCTGGACGTTCTGCTCCCAGTGTGACTCAAGCAGTGCTGGGCACCTGGTTGAGTCAGAGCTCTACCTGTTAAGTTCTGGTTGGTTTGGTGATTTTCGAGATAAGCTCGTCTGGCAATACGGGAGCTACAATTTCCCATAGTGAGACATCGAACGGAGTGTTATGAATGAGAACTATAGGTTACTTGCGTAACCCCAGTTCTCAGAGTAACATGAATGTCTCACCAGACGGCCCTCCTTGCTATGGTGAAGCGAGAAGAGGTGCTTATTTTGAATGGCGCATGCGTTGTGGCGCAAGGTACTTATAGGGGGTGATTTCCCTGACGCTGACGTCAAGATCTCCAGCCAATCAGGATTGGCGTAATGAGATTGATGCTTCTGTTTGCTCCGCGATGAGGCGCATCCCATAGTGAGACATCTCACTTCATGTTACTCTGAGAACTGGGGTTACGCAAGTAACCTATAGTTTACGGCTTTCCTTTAGAAAAATAATGCGCATTTGCTAGGAAAATGTTAAGTTTTGATTGCAAAAAAATCTTAATGGACATGTTTTTAAAATGTCTGTAAAACAATTCACTTAACTGAGCAATTTGAAATAAATCCTAATGTCTGATAATGTTTAGAGTGTTAATATAAACCATGTTTTAGTTGATGACGTTAGCATGCTACAATTAACGTCACTAGAGGAAAAGTCAGGGAACCAAAGATTTTAGGATTCATCACCTGTGACCCATATACATCAACACAAATCTAATATAATGGTTGATAACATTTCGAATTCTGAAGCAAAGTGGCAGGTGAAAAAAGACATGCCCATCTCTAGAGTGACACTGCTAGCATGGCTACCAACACATGCAAGGCTAGCACAGTGGTTGGTATCCTCCTCTTCGAGGCAGAAAGCAAAGGATAGAAATTTGAGTCAAGAAACACTAACACTTTCAAAGCAGCTGGTGTGACATTCTCCAAGTAGCATGGACCTTTCATTCTCAACTCCTCCTTTGTGTTTAATCTCTGTAGGTGTCTGACTGAGGATGCAGGAGAGGTGGCCTTCATCAAACACACCACTGTCGCTGAAAACACTGATGGTAACCTCTTAGTTAGCTGTACAATCAGAGATGACCACATCAATTGTTACATTTTCAGCCACTTTGTTGTTAGCTTATTAGCATGTCTGTTAGCTAACCAGTTATTATTTTCACCAGATCATACTCCTCCCTGGGCAACCAAACTGAACTCAGCGGATTATGAACTGTTGTGTCGTGATGGCTCCAGAGCTCCTGTCTCTCAATGGAATAGATGCCACTTGGTCCGCGTCCCATTTCGTGGAATTGTTGTTGGCATGGACGTCACTCCCTCTGTGGTGTTCAACATGCTGACGGAGGGACTGGTGCGTCTAAACATCCACAAATAACAGGAAGTATCTTAAAGTTACAATCTTGAAGATCTTGTTTGGTTTTCTATGCCGGTAATTTAGATTGATATCACTTGTTAAGAGCACTTTTTGAGAATGTTCAAACAGTTTGTAATCTCATCATTGGGCAATAGGTTCAGTCACCATTGTGTTACCTCTTACGACAATATATAGTGGCTTAAGAGAAGAAAATCTTCAAGATTCTAACATTGAGACACATTGAAGGAGTCGGACTAGCATTCATTACTGTGAGATTCTGTGTGTGAGATGAATTGAGTGTTACTTGTCATCTGCAGGAAAAGTCAGAGTTCGGCATGTTTTCATCTATGGATTACGGAGGAGGAACTGTTCTCTTCTCTGAGTCATCCACCATGTTTCTGGGGGCCGTGTCAAATGACCCTGAGAAGTGGATGCATCGCTACTATCATGATGCTCTGACAGCCATGGACTGTAAAGCTGAAGGTGAAACAAAAATGGCACTAGTTGATTTCTATGAAGTTTCTTTGTGAAATGTATGAGTAAATGTAACCGTTCTAGCTAACTGGGAAACCTACCTATCAATTCATATTTCTTTCTTCCTTTACAACCCACCTGTCTATCTTCAAATATCCCAGGTGTCCTGCGTTGGTGTGTGTTGTCCAGTGGTGAGCAGCAGAAATGTGCTGACATGAGCGTGGCCTTCCATAACAAAGGTCTGACTCCAGAAATCAAATGCGTCCACGGGAACTCTGTGACTGACTGCATGAAGAGAATCAAGGTAACAGATGATTTCAGCTGGCGGTTGCTGAAGAACAACTACAGTGATTTCCTTTCATTCAAATTAAAACACAGTATCTGTGCTCTACGGTGGAAAAACTCTAAAACTATACCTTAAATACCACTTACCAAAAGTTTGAACTGGAGTCATTATGTAAGGACATGCGAGAAAGACGCAATTGTCTCTGGCACTGACAACCGATGATAACCACAATGTGTTGATTAAGGAAAAGTCTAGGGATATGTAAAGTCAGTATTATTCATCCTCTAGCAACCAATATGGAAGACCTACAGATGGATATTACCATCCATATAGCCTTGACGCAAGCGTTTTTCTTTGTTCAGATGTATTAAACTAACCCTGTGCCCAATACTTGTTTAGAAGGACTTGGACTTGAATTGAGACCTGTAGGTCTATACTTTGAGCAACACCAACACATCTGTGATAAGCTGTTCTGGCATCTCAATCTCTGCCCTTCCTTTCGGTAATTGTGTAGAACAACGAGGCTGATGCCGTCACCTTGGATGGAGGTTACATCTACACAGCAGGAAAAGAGTACGGATTGGTCCCTGCTACCGGCGAGAGCTACACAGGTAAGATTTCAAACACATAAACTCACACAAGCAAAGTCACACATTCTTGTTACAAAGGCAGGAGATAGAGGTTGTTGTTTCTGTTGTCTCCAGAGAGCCGAGATGGTTCCATGTACTATGCAGTCGCAGTGGTGAAAAAGAGTAGCTTTGACATCCGTAACCTTGACGACCTGCGTGGCCGTCGCTCCTGTCACACCGGATATGGTCGCACGGCTGGCTGGAACGTTCCCGTAGCAACGCTGATGGAGAAAGGCCTAATAGCCCCTAAGCACTGTCAGATACCTCAAGGTCAGTGGGATGTTGGTGTGTGAATCTGTGTCTGTGTGTAGTAGTGGTCTGAGATAGAATAGTCAGAACTCAGAAAAAATAGCACTGGGAAAGAATGCCTCACGCCTCACTTCCACCAAAGTTTGTGCGGATTTGACTCAAATGTAATGGATTTGGTGTTATATTATTAATGCATGGTATTTAAACCCTCACACTGCCAACTTTGTATTTGTCTTGACATGTTTGATGATATGCTCGAAGATCCACACCACGCCCAATCAAGATTACATGATAAAGGAAAGCTACTGAAAGCCACATTATAAATTACAAAACTATTGTATCAGGCTGAATGGTCCTCATTTCTGCAAGTAAAACAAACGTCATGTAAAGAATGGACAGTTCGTTATAAAACCCATTTGTTTTAAAAGTCTTACTTTTTCTTCCATTCTTTGACTTTCTATTTTTTTATGTTTCCCATGACGCCTAGCCGTGGGAGGGTTCTTTGAGAAAAGCTGCGTACCAGGTGCAAACCAGCCCGGTTTACCCAGCAACCTGTGTGGGCTATGTGTGGGCACCGAATCAGGAGAGAACAAGTGTGAGAAGGGAAAAGACCTGTATGATGGATACGACGGTGCCTTCAGGTAACACCCCAAACCCCTGCACTGCATCAAAGTTACATTTTTCACTCCAATTTGTCCCTGTATCCCCAACAATATAATACATGTTAATGAACATGGGTACATTTAGACCGTTGGAAACCTATTTCTGACAGAATGACTGCGCTACAGCTGCTTAATTCATCCAAAATGACCCTATTAGTACTTTAATCCTTAGGTTTAACCCACCGTCACATCATTTTAAGGTCTGTGATTGGATGTTCCTTGCTGAAAAGCATGGAGTTAAAATTAACTTCATCCTCATCTTTTGCACAGATGATTGAACTCCATTTTATGGGACTTTGGGGAAAAGTGCACCAGTAAAAACTTCTCTAATTAGCAACTGTATTGCCTCTAATATAAAATGTTATTGAGCGTTGCACCCATACTGCATGTGTCTGTCTATCTGTCCTTTCAGGTGTCTTGCAAAAGGAGATGGAGATGTGGCTTTTATCAAACATTCTACTGTCTTTCAAAATACTGATGGTAAGACAACAAACTTCAAGAAATAAAATGTTCTTATAAGAGTCTTGTAATTTTAAGGGACATCATTTTTCTTTGTGTTTATTCAGGTAATGGTGAAACGTGGGCAGTGGATCTCCTGTCTAAAGACTTCCAGCTGCTGTGCTCTCAGGACACTAAAGCTGAGGTAACACAGTACAGACACTGCAACCTGGCCAGAGTCCCCTCCCACGCTGTAATGGTACGACCCGATACCAACATCCACGCCATCTATGGACTACTTGACCGTGCACAGGTACAATTATTAATATGTCTTTAGCTTATACAGCGTACGGTCTGTAACACTGTACCGATTGATTCAGAGGGTGTAAGCCAACCAAGTAAAGAGATCTGAAACAATAATTATATAAATGATTCTCCACTGTAAAGGACTCACAGATTTCTGAGACCAAATGTAGGTTTTCATACATGAGATTTGATGATTTGATGATTTTTGGTGGTGCATCAAATATGCTCTGACGTCTGAGAATTATTATTTGGGCGCCAGAAAGCATGTTGTTGGACAATATAATCCAACAGAAACAGCTAACTGGAATTTAGGAAGAAAATGGTGTCTGTGATGTTTATTAAGTTCCTTTTTATTTCTGTTTCCCTATAGACATATTTTGGCAGTGATACAGGTACTGAGTTCAAGATGTTTGACTCGAAGGAGTACAAGGGCACAGACCTCATCTTCAAAGACTCCACTGTTATCCTTGTCGGTGTTGGTGACAGGAAGACCTACCAGGAGTGGCTGGGCCAGGGCTACATGGACTCGCTGGTTGACCTGGAGTGTAACTCATCCAATGCAGGTAAAAACAAACAAAATAGCTAAAGTCACTCCACACTATCCAATGTAAATCAGAGGTATTTTTCTTTTCATGTTTATTTGTGTGGGTATAACCAAAGCAACTGAAATGTTGTAAATTGAAAAAAGGGTGAAGAAAGCAAATCTTTTCTACGACAGTCTAGAGTCTAGATATCACTTTAAATAGTTAAACAGGTCTGCCAAGTAGATCAACGATGTATTCGGTAGTTCTATATTTAGCAAAGGCTAATTCATTTTTAAAGTCAACTATGTGGACAGGACAGATAGTTACAATTGTGTCACTATGTATGATAGTAAAAAAAAGGATGAGCAAATTAGCAGCCTCTTGTAATTACCGGTATAACTGAAGAGTGGAGTGCAATTAGGATATAGATCATTCAGTCATAAAATAAATACACAGATAGGGGAGCTTTCTAATGATTTCCATTGTTTTCTTACCTACAACATATTTAATATCTCTTTTTTTGTTTGTACTTACAGTGAAGTCCTCTGTATTGCTACTGCTGATGGCTTTGGTCAGCTTCATGCTGACCGACCTCTGGATGTAATGTGTTGCAGGCGTCCAGCAACGTCTCCAACTCACTTTCATTACTTTTTTTCTCTATTTCTAATCTATTAACACTTTACCTTCCCATGACTTCCCCCTCTCCATGCCTGATTATTTTGTTAATTGTCTCTCAAGTTTCTAAGTGAAATTATCAGTTTGTAACTTTCTACTATTTTTGATCTTACAAATTGCATAATTTCTTACTCATTTTTTATGAGAGAGCCATGTTGGAGCTGCCTTTGGATTTAAATGGTGCTGGTGTTGGATGGAAGCACATTGCCTCGTGGTATTGTGGCAGATAAGAGAGTTTAGTTGCCAAAGACTTAAAGCCTGTGTGAATCAGACATGATGAGAGAATGTGCTGCTGCCACTTTGTTTACTGAAGGTGGGCTGCCATATCAGTGTGTATGCGGCCACCTGTTACCTTTCCTTAGTCGGTGGCTCATTCCCGTCTCTCTGAAGCACCGACAATCTGATGATGAACTTTTACACGAGTCCTTAATAACATTGGGATCAATTTATGATGTAATATAATTGATATTACTTACTTACTTTAAACACGAGTAACAAAATGCTCTATGAGTTTGGAGCTAGAGCCAGGAGTTCATTAGCTTAGCTTTGCCTACCTTTAGCTTAGCTTTTCGCCATATTGAACCTTTAAAACAGGGTTGCCAACTCTCACGCATCTGGCGTGTGACACACGCTTTCACTCTCAATCTCAGGCTCTCACGCTGCCCAAACTATTATCACGCCAAAACAAGAATACCGAAGACTAGAAACGGTTTTGAAAACTGTTGTCACGCAGTGATCGTCTTCCCAATAGAACATCTTTGATAATGTCTTCTGGCCAATCAGAATCAAGATAACGGCGTGGTGTTGTGGCAGGAAGTCCCGACGGAGAATACTTTTGCTGTAGTACATCTCTATATACATCGATACAACATTACGTGTTGATTTCTATCAACACGTAATGAAATAAGATCCCACGGTTTGATGATTGACAGGTGTGTGGGCTGTCTTCCATTTTGACACACAGAACAATGGGGGCTATCCACCCTTATCCACAATGTAAAGTAATTCACACAGCCTCTTCCCTCTTCTCTCTGTGAGGAGCAGCAGGTTCAGCTTCATTTAAATATGTCGTGTAGTAATAGATGTATTTTTTTTTTCTCAAGAGAGTACCAGAATGTGTATTTTATGTTAGTATTTCAAAAAATCTCCTGGGGGAGAATCCCCCCTGCAGGGGTTGGATTTTCAGCATGTCAACTCTTTCACTTGTGGGTAAATTGCAGGATTAGCTCCAGGTCGTCCTTTTTATTTACTACAAGACAAATGTGCCTTTTTATTTCATACAGTTCAATTTGGATTGAGACAGGGAAATAATCTAAACCTCACGCGTGGCGTTTCACTGTCAAGGGGGCGATAGAGCGTGTATGTAATTACATTGCAAATACTGACTTGAGCCCCACCACTGTATGGGTTAGCCCTACCATAGATTACCCAACAAAAACACTCCGGAGCCGATAAGTCAATGAATTGCTTATTGCGACAGGCACACAATAAAACAGTGGAAACAAAGATGTGTTTGATTTTCATTAGTGAATTAAACTGTGTGCCCTTTGCCCCTTTGTAGTCTGTGTCCAATATTGTGTATTTGTATATGTATATCCTATATGCTAAGGTCCCGCTGCTGACACGATAGCAGTCATTTCGTGTGCAGATGTGTAATTAAACCCATGATAACAAAATCTCACTCCAGCCAGGTACCCAAAGTTGGCAACCCTGCTTTAAAACTACATTTTTAAAAGGCTTTATGTAAATATAGAAGTCATATTGCTGTTCCGTTCTGCTGCCACTTGCTGTGTGAGTACTACTAACTAACACAGCCTTTCTTTAGTTTAGGCTGTGTCGCTAATATAAGCTAATGCCATATCAGTGAATATGCACTAGTGTTGCCTCCACACAGAGCTGTGCTGGGGATAGTGTGATGATGAGTGGCTGAGTGTTCATCCATAGGCTGTCTGCTTCATGTATTCTCCTCAAACACCTAAAATTAAGTTGAATATATTAATCTGGTTTATATCTTGTTATTTTGATCATAAATGGAAACTGCTTTAGCAGCAGATAGTCAGCACTTGCAGCCATTTCTCACACCTTGTAAGCATTCCATTTCATACATTTGGAAACACATGGAGTAGGCTCCATCAGATTTGGGGAGAACATAAAGAAAACATCCTGTGGTTTGTGCTGAGAGTGAATGGATTTTGTTTGTTTGGATGCTTTGAGTCAAAGAGGAGTTTGTGTTAATTAGGAGGAGACAATACGGTTTAATAATATGTGTCTTCAACTTTCATAGTTAAAAAAGGGGTTTACTTGCATTTGTGTTTGACTTGGAAACATACATTGATCCCGTTTTGATTTAAAACGGGTTGTGGTTTGATATATTTAGTAATGCAATGTTTGTGTCCAATTAATATAATAGGACATAAATGTTTATGATAGACCTTTCTGAGTAAAATAAAATCTGCTCTCATGTACTCTAACCCAAACAACTCACTCCAGAAATGTGTTAACTCAAACTAACTTGCTCAAGTCATATACTGTATTCATGCTGCTTGATGCTGTTTCCTGTTTTAAAAGGGTGATAGATGTGTATTTTCCTATATTAAGAGATTTATTTGTATATGATGTTCAGATGCCATATCAGTGTATATGTGCTGACTCATGCTGTCAGAAACTAATGCATTCTCTTCCTGCTGATAGAGATTTATTTCTATGTGAAATGATGTAACATGTGACTAATATTTAGTTGCCAGACCAGTGAGTCTGCACAAGTATTGCTACATAAAACTGCCTAAATGAGCTGTTTTCTGTGCTTCAAATTAAAAAAAACAATTTTAAACGCATGTAGTTTGGTTATTCTCTGAGTGTCTGTGTATGTGTGTGTCATATTGACCAAGCCAAGCCCCTACACACATGTATTCCCATTTGAAAAAGGACTGGTACATTTGCAGCAGTAACAGTTTTTGTTTTAAAGTTTAAGTCTAACAGTTATTTTCATAATCAATTGATCTGCCCACTATTTATTTGATTAATCCACAAAAGTGGAATTACATAGGACCCATGGTGACATGTCTCACTGATATAAAAATGGTCTATACGGACAAGAAACACATTCTAGCATTTGTGCTGAAATCATCAAATGTGTCCTTGAAACAAATTACTTCAAACAATTAATGAATCAACAAAAAACAATGCTGAAAAGCATTGACATATATTGAATAATTATTGTAGCTCTTTGTGAAAGTATCTACAGTATTTTGGTCAACGTTTTGTCAAGGCAAAGGGAAATCAGAGCAAGGAAGCATAATTACATACATTACCACAGCCGTAGGAGCAATACAATATAATCTCTTACCCTTTGCAGCATATCTCTAATGATGAATGCAGATGAACTGAGTTACAACTTGGAGGCAGTGGACTGTGAACTCCTGACTCTGCTAACCTGACACAACCTTTCTTAAAGGCAGTCATTGACCTCAGTGGTACATTTGCATAGGTACACACACATGTATCTCCCTATGATCTAATTAAAACATTTATACAGATGAAACAGTCATTTCCTAGCAGTCATACATTATAATCTTTATTTTTACAATCGGACCAACAAGGTGAATAATGTCTATACATATCCTCATCACATCTTTCTCTATATGTACATTTTGACCCACCAAATGATTTACCAAGACAACTGTATGTTCATTACTTTAAAAGCATTTTGGGTAGATATATGTCATAGTGCACATTGGGTAATGATGGTTTGGTATTTCACATTAATCCGACAAGACCTAGATAAAAGGCTGTTCAACAGGGTCTAATGAAATTACTATGAATTGTCAACATTTCCACAATATTTCCAAATCTATAATGGGTCCCACAGTTGTTTGTAAAGATAAAATAGACACTTTCCATCCCTGCATTCTCTGAAATGCAGGGATACAGTGAATTCATTCGTTTAACCTCAGTTCATCATATATTATCTGGCCTTAGATATTCTAAATCACTCCCTGATTGTAAACTGGATCAGTGTCTAATATGTTGCAGTTTACGGTTATAGTGCATGGATGAGGCAGATTGTTTATACATGACTTCCCATATGTCCTCCTCCAGTCATTGTTGATTCACCATGGTTTCAGCTTATCAATAACCGCCCACTAAAGTGTATTCACAGTCTCTTTGTCATCCTATATCCAGCCTGTCGTGTTTACTTCTTGATCTGTCTGGAGCCGTCCTTCCATCCCTGCTTCACCTCATTCACAAAGGTGTCTTTGACTTTCTTCAGGATGCTGCCCATCTTCCCCAGGTCCCCGGGGACTTGGCCGGCCTCATGCTTCACCTGCCGCATCGTCGGAGACTGCAGGACCCGCTGAGAGGCTACTTTACCGGCTATCTGAGCCTTGGTGATGGCGTTGGCTGTGATCTGTGCCGCCCTGCGAATCGGACGAGACTCTGCCAACTTCTCAACAACACGGTGGTTGTTGAGGAGGTTGAATAAGAACCGGAGGAGCATTGTGTCGAGATATTTTGTCGAAGACTTTTGACAATTTAGCTTAGAGAGCTAACTTACCGGTCCCGTCACTTTCGTGTATTTCTGCCCTGTAATGACAACAACAACAACAACAACAACAACGTGTAGCGTTAGTAAACTGGAGATAATGATATCCGACGGTAGATTATACATTCATGTGTGCTGGGGTTGTGGCGTAAATAAGTATACATAAAACAGTTACTGACTTACTTCAGTTGGTTCAGGTGACCACCACTAGGTCGCCGCCGCAATGACATAACAGACTGTAATAGAGTGAGGCTGAAGTTGGTTTCACGTTCTATTAATTTACATTTCAACCGCACGTATACTTATCCACAACTGCGTCTCTACCAATATGAAGCTAACTTCAATTTATGGGAAATTATTTTCCGGACGTTTTAAGTGGTAACACCATTCAGTAAAGTGCGTCCGGTTGAATCATACGTACATCCGTTCTCAGTGCCAGATTTCCCAGCTCGTTTCCGTTGATCATCCTTCCCAACATTCGCACACGGAGCGCTGAGATTCGTCATCTCAGAATTTAACTCTTAAACCCGTGGACACTGTGAACCGCTGCCATGCGTTTGCTTTTGTTTTTCTTCGTGACCATGCTGTCTCTGATCCCGGCGGCAATGAGTGGAGCCGAGAAAAAAAAGCTGCAGATCGGCATCAAGAAGCGAGTCGACAACTGCCCCATCAAGTCCCGCAAAGGAGACGTGCTGAACATGCACTACACCGGCAAGCTGGAGGATGGCACTGAGTTTGACAGCAGCATCCCCCGCGACAGGCCCTTCACCTTCACCCTGGGGACCGGTCAGGTGATCAAAGGCTGGGACCAAGGCCTGCTGGGAATGTGCGAGGGCGAGAAGAGGAAGCTGGTCATCCCCTCCGAGCTGGGCTACGGAGACAGGGGAGCTCCCCCAAAGATCCCCGGAGGAGCGACGCTCATCTTCGAGGTGGAGCTGCTCAGCATCGAGAGGAAATCCGAGCTGTGATGAACAGGAGATGAGGGAACTTTCGAAACGTACGTTTTTTATAAATGTGTGGTTTACACTGATTTGGATACCTCCGATTCTTACCTTAACACCATCCATTGTGTAGGCCTACATCATGCCTGGAAAACAACATGGCCTCGGTTTCCTGTGGGGTAATCTGATTAAATGCAAATGAATTTAGAGGTGCACCATCTGAGCTCAGAATTACATCAACAAATACATGTAAACTCAGAAAACATACGTCAAAATTATATGATAAATTAAAATATATATAAAAACAAGCCACATGTTAATAATATGTATGTTATTGAATCTCAGTTACAGCTATTCGCGACATTTAAATAAAGTAAATACCTCAATGTTGCAGTGTTTCATGTTCGTCCACTATGACTTAATTAAAAACATATATTGGCTTTTTCGATAAAATGTTTCTACATAATTTAACTCGATAAAGGGACCCTTAAAACCCCACCACTTTGACATTTTCAAAGCGTTTCAGCTTTTTTTAAATCTTATGAAAACACCTGTTGAACCAGCTTCCAATCCCAAAATGCTTTAATCTTCATACATAATATTAGGAAATAAACTTGTAAACCGTCTGCGGTCACACCCATCTAACTATGGATGCAAACAGACTCCCAAAGAGTGATGAAAAAGTTGACCAACTCCATTGAACTCAAAACTAGACATTTCTTGAGAGAAGCAGAAAATCCTGCTTTCTAAGTCGCTCGCTAGCTCATATTTCTTACACCACAAACCTGAACTCTAGATCAAGGGGTTCGGCTGCATTTTTTTAAAATAATATGTTCACTGTAGGTGTCACGGTTCTGACTGAAAAGAGTCTTTTCAAAATGTAACCCCTTCAACACCTGTGCTTTTTTGTACCTTTTGGATTACATTTCAAATTTGAAAGTTTTACCATTTTCTTTCAGGTTCCAGGAGCTGCTGCAGCATTACGTGGAGATTATCTGACCTCTGATGAAGAACTTCATGGAAAATCTGGGAGTAGAGTTAGCAACCCCCTGGCAGAGCCACTGTCCTTGTTTCACTGGCTTTGCCCATTGTGCTCTGATTTATTGGTCTGAAGTTATTACAAGATGTGATGTATGTCCGTGCTTAACAAACTATGAGCAGTGAGCAGCTAAACACAGTATTTGGCTGCAGGTTGGAAATAAAGACATGCCCTGCAGTTTCAGTTCATCTGTATTTCTAATTGTCTCTGATTTATAAGTGTGATCATTTGTACATTCTTTTCATAGAACAATTTTGGTTGTTGTTGAATAAGTCAGGAAAGGATGGTTTAGTATACATGTTTTTTACTTTTTAAGTATTTGATAAATGACAATAAAATGTTAAATTGAAGGGGAACTTTGCAGTCTGATGTGGTTTTGTTGAACAACATATTTTTTTTATACACATAGATAAAATCTATAGGGAAAAGTGTGTGGTTATATTTATCTACTTCAAATATATAAAATGTATTTCAAAAATGTTCTTTAAATATCCAAAAGAAAACACAATAAGCAGTCTTTCAGTTACCAGTGACACGGATGGCAGCAGCCAATAGAAAAGCACCACATCACACATTTCAACTGCCAGCTTCCGTCATGTGACCTGGGGCACCTCTCGGTAGCCATGAGTTTAATGGATGGAGGATTAGACATTTGGTGTATCATATAATGTAAGGGGTGCCAATTTTGGATTTAGCTATAACTACTTTAATTCGGGAAATGTTAGACCATATTTAGGTCTAAAAATGCTCGTGGTTCCAGTAAATTGTGATTTTGGATTGTTATGTGAAATGTATTACAGAATGAGCGACGTCTAATAAGCCCTTCATATTTTGGTAGGCTATTTGATTTACATCAAACAAAATAGAATGTTTTTATTTCCCCCCCCAGAAACACAATAACGAGAGTGAGCCCCATTCCGAAGCAGGAGGGGCGGTAATGCAGCTCGCACGCAAGTTGCTATGAAGAAAGTACGGACAATATTTTGGACGGACAAGTAAACCGGAAGTTATCTCAGCGTTGCCGAACACCTGCGGACTCGTTCCGGTTGGCTCTCTGCGATTTGTTCAACATGTCTGCTAAATTAAACGCGTTGCATAGCGACTCTTACGTTGATATCAGTCAATACAGAGACCAACATTTTAAGGTGAGCTTCAAATTAGTTTAAAAGACTGGAATCATTTATTGTAATGTCAAAGTGACGGTTTATCATGTTAGCTTATAGTTAGCTAACAACAGAGAGGGCAGCTCATGCTTTGTATGGAGGCGTTTATTGCTTTGTAACCTTAGGTTTAACTCATTCAAGATATGATAATGTCTTAACTTCTTGACCCACATTGTATTACCATGGTTTTTTTCATTCTACCGCAAGCGTCTCCATTGCAGTAGCTTAACGTTTAATTGAGTTTGTATTTAAACAAAGCCGCTCACTGGAGTTCTCAGACGTTAATCGGAGTTGATTTGAAATCAAGAAATACCTGACGTCAATCCACTGAGGTGCTTTAGATATGGAATAATGAGGTACACATTAAATTAACGGTGCTGCTTGTGTTTTTAGGGAAACCGCTATGAACAGGAAAAGCTGCTGAAGCAAAGCCACACTTTGTATGTTGGGAATCTCTCCTTCTACTCTACCGAGGACCAGGTAGGAAACACTACAAATAAGTATATTTGTGTGCACAAACAAGTATTTAAATAAGTCTCACTGTTCTGTTTTTTAGAATCAAATGCCGTATAATCATCATGTTCTTTTATGTTAATAAGCTGAGAAATTAGGCTCCGTTCAAATAAATGTATTTGTTCTGTATAAACTGGGGTTGTTATGGCATATGACTTGTTGTAGTAGGTCCCCAAAGCCGTGTGATTACAGCTGTTAGTGATCAGTAATCATTTGGATTTTAAATCAGAGACAAAGCTAGTTTAAAATATTGAAATGGCGGTATACTTTTTAAACCAATTTAATTGTTAAAAGTATTTACAGGTAATTCTTTAATGCTCAACAGATCATTTGTATAATAACTTGTATTCTCTTTGTAACTGCAGGTACACGATATCTTCTCTAAAGGTGGAGACGTCAAGCGCATCATCATTGGTCTGGATAAAGTGAAAAAGACAGCCTGTGGATTCTGCTTTGTAGAGTATCCTTTTATATGGAAAATACTTGATTTAACCTACAGCAAACACTCATATCTGTCAACATTTAACTAACATTTGACCACTATAGCTTAAAGTGATCATGTTTTCTAAGTGTATTAGCCTGCAACAGACCGTAACTCCTGCTCTACCAGATACTACACTCGGACAGGAGCAGAAAACGCCATGCGCTTCATTAACGGCACACGGCTGGACGACCGTATCATCAGGACAGACTGGGACGCCGGCTTCAAGGAGGGACGGCAGTACGGCCGCGGAAAGTCTGGAGGACAGGTGAGGAGGATTCAGACACTTACGATAATACAGTTCAGCGAGATGCACGAGTGGTTTATTGGCTTAGAATAAACAGTCTACATATCAGCAAACCAAACATTTGTGTGTACAACATCTGGTGGTGTTCTGGATCTCCTGCCTTTTCATTTGTGTCCTTCATATTGAAAAGTTTTGGAAAACAATATAAAACACAGCATGCTATTTAAATGATGGCATTTACGGAGAAACAAAATCAACACACTACATTATGACATTTGAAAACACCAGTATGATATTTAGAAAGTGAACTCTTGTCCAAAAGTAAATGATGCATGCCTCACCGTGGCCTTTGTAGAGACGGCATTAATATAGCATGGCATTTGAAAAATGAAAGAGATGATGCTATTAACTAATGCATAATCATGTCAAATGGGTTGTATTGCTGCACAATAAGCTTTCTGGCCGTGTGTTAATGAAGAAGCATACATATTGGACTAAGAACTGGTTTATTGGGGGTGAAAAATAGAGCCAATTGCCCTTAATTATATAAATGATTTGGACCCCCAGCATTAAAACAATGAATCATGTGTATTTACTGTAACCCTCTGATTGTGTTCCTCCTGTAGGTGAGAGATGAGTATAGGCAGGACTACGACCCGGCCAGAGGCGGCTACGGTAAGCTGGCTTCGCAACATCGAGGCGCGGAGGTTCAGAATAGTTTTTAACTGAACCCCACTGCAGGTCCCCCCCCCTCTCAGTCCTGGACCAGAACCACGTCATGCTACCACAGACAGTTAGTCGCTGTGTAACCAATACAGCTCTACAGCTGGTCTGCACGGACCACTGGAGCCCGGAAAATAGCAGCTTTTATTTATTTTTTCTCTGTCTTTCATACCGGCTAACAGTTTACAAGTTATCGCAAGCCAAACTCCAAACTCACTG